GATCACATAATAATGATTTATATAAATAACCGCTTTATGCATTTATGATTGGGATTCAAATTGCTTTAGTGTTTTGGTGCAGATGGTATACGTAAGAGTAAGAGGAATACAACTGCAAAAATACGAGCAAATATATATATGTTTTAAATACAAGAAAAACGATTGAATTTAAAAATAAAAATGTGTTCAAGAAAATAAATCCCTATTTCTTTTTAAATATATTTATTACGTATTATTATGAATAACAACCATAATAACACATTGAATTTAAATAGCACTTTTCTAAATACTCAAACATGCACCAGACCAAAACCTCCCTCATTAATAAGGCAATCATAACACGATGCATTACTAGATCTAAATGTATTGAAATTGTAAATCCTGACATGTTGCACACTTCTTCTCCACACTTCTTCTCCACACTTCTTCTCCACACCTCTTCTCCACACCGTCAGGGAATCATTTCCATAGAAGTTTACCTTTCGCCCTCTGACGCAGCTGACCAGCCTTGAGCAGCCGTTATCTCCCATAAGGAGGGGCTGCCCTAGCATATTGTTGTTGTTACCAGTTTGTGACCGGGCAACTCTCGGTCAGAGATAGTTATTGTTGTGGGACACCTGGAACACATCCTTCTCGGGGTGGAGATGACCTCGAGCCATAAGAGACAACAAATGTGATTCAGTGTCCTCAGCTGTTTAGTCTATCTATTGAAGAATGTTGATTATTACACTCCGATAGTTAAAACCTGGAGCTACAGGAGGGCTCTTCAGAATTGATTGTGGCATCTCAACCGTGTGGTCAACTCGTGCCCGTGACATGTCTTGTGAATTCTCCGGCCGTAACTCCAAATAAACCGTCAGTGTTTGCCATCAAAGCTCCAGCTCTCCTTGTGTCTCTCTGAGTCCTGACTCCCATTGCTTCAGAACTCGCTCACTCACTCATTCACTCACTCACTCTCACTCTCACACACACACACTCACACACTTTTAAATCAGCTCTCCACTTTAAATAGAGTATAGTGTTTGTCATAAATATTGTGAATTTGGAACAGTCCCATTTTTCTTTTATTTCGTTTTTCTACGTATTCTTCTTTCTGTGTCTTTGTATGAACCTCATATACAAATAAATTTATAAATAAAGTAAATTCCAAACCCATTCTGATCCAAGCACTCAAACATATGCTTCTCCCAATCTCACTGAGACGTGTTTTATAAATGTATAACAAAGGAAAACCCCCTAATGCATGTCCCAATTCCTCGTTCCCTGTAGAGACTTTAGAACGATGTTAAAAAAAAGCCACAATAACCTTTAATTATCTATTTCTATATTTAGAGCCAGCAGCTTTCTGCAGTAACCGCTGAGCTGAAAGAGTCTGCAGGAAGTCGTCTCGCCCAGAAGGAAGACAAGACAAAGACGGGTAAATATTAATTTAATTTATTCAGAAGAGTGTTATCAAGGCTTTATCGTACAGTGCAACATTTTAATGCTTTTTTGCAGAACAAAAGAACGCGTTGAGGCGAGACGTTGACAACGTGGCAGCGAAACAGTGAGTTCAAACTTCTTTGGCATTTAATGAAATCTAACAGTTAACGCTGAATTTCTACTCAAGCACAAGTTATCACATCAAAAACTATTGATAATAGTTTAAAGAATACATTTTCATGCAGAAATGTCATACAATGTCATTTTGAGCCTCTTAAATATTAAGATTTGCTTCATTTTTAAGCTTTAACGTCATATTTAAGTGAATATATTAGAGTTTTGGCATTAGAGAAACTGAACTGGACTTTTTTACCATCTCATAAACATTCAATGCGGAAAATAACCATCAGATGAATGTGTAATGAAGCTAATCTCACACCAAGCTCCTAAATTCAGTCTAATCTACTTTTCCGTAGACATTATAGCGTTTTAATCTTGATCCCTGAGTAAAACATGAACTATAAGTATATTTTAAAGACAGTACAGGCTCCCGTTTGTGTCCCCTTGCATGAAGCGATTCCCCCATAAATAAATTCAAGTATTCCCGCTGATATATTTCTGTTTGCTCTCAGGAACCAGGAGGAAGTGAAGCGAGCGCCGGCTCCGGAGCAGCTCACCTTTAAGGAGCGCCAGCGGCTCTTCTCTCTGGCCTCCAGCGCGTAACCCGAGGTTTCAGAGTGTAAACAGAAACCTCACCACAAACAGAACAGTCCTAACGCGATGAGCTACGAGACAATTATAACACCCTATAATGTTTACTGTAGAAATGTTTGTGTTAGCTACTGGGTGTAATATTGCTGAATTATTATCAACTGTTTAAACTGTATTTTCTTATTCTTAGATATAAAGTCTTTATTTAGTAAAAATGATTATTAAGGCGAGACACTGCAGGTTTTTGATTATTCTGTATCTATAACGTCTTCTTTGAGACGAGAAAATTCAGGAGTTTATTTAACTAACTTTTTCTGTTTGACCCGCTCTATCGATATCAGTCGGATGTCGCATTGATGGATAATCTTGAAATGATGTCAAAAACTTGTGTTTTGGTCGATTTTACACATAAAAAGTCTTGTCTTTCAGAATATGGAACTTGTATGACCATGTTCAGAAGAAAAATACGTGTTTTAAGCTTGTAACGACAAGGTGACAACTTCAGCGATCACCTCTGAAAATCAACTTTAAAATTATTTTGATAATAGTTTCAAAAGTCATATTTAATTATAATGCAGAAATGTCATAAAAGGACATTTCTTAAAGCCTGGAGGTTTGCTTATTCATCTGTTTTATATCATATTAAAAGTATATCTCTGATCTAGTGTTGGTGCTATGCCCCCAAAATATTAAGCCTTGAGCCCCCTTTTTAAATAACTATGGCTAAAAACAAAGTCAGCTAACTTTGAAGGACAACTACAGTAAGGACACCGTGGGAAAGCTGAGAATGTCCTCTTTTAAACAGTGTGTGTAACACAATGTGTTTTGGGGTCGATGTGACTGATTTTGATTGAGCAGGTCACACGTGTGTCTGCAGATTTGTCCTAATTCACCAAAAGTTAGCATGACTTAATGCCTCATTAGCATATTTAAGTTGTGATATCCGTTTGGTTTAATGTCTCTCTTCACCTGTAGTGTCTCACCTTTGCTACCTCTGTTACGTGGTGTATTGATCTACTTTGTGCGTTGGTAAAACTGCACCACAGCTTTCTCCTGCTCGTTGGTCTCGATTGATCCGCTTCTTAATCTCCGGATCTCGTTGATGGCGTCGATGCCCGACATCTTCCGGGTCTTCACCAGGTAGCAGGCGAGCATCGTGCCCGTCCTCCCGTGGCCGTGCATGCAGTGCACCGCCACGCCCTGCAGGGGAAAAAACAACATGTATTTGGATATTATTTTTGAATAAGTCAAATTTACAAAAAATAAATAAATGTAAGACTAAAGAACGTTATATTCTCTGAGATTATAAAGTAATACATTAGGAGAAAAAACATAGACTTTCTCTAAGATTTGAGTTCTAGGTGGATCCAACATGGGAAGTGAATGTTCTTTTTATTTTAAAAAGAAAATACTTGAATTGGCCCTAATACTTGAATGTAAAAAAAAGACTGACTGAAACCAACTTTTGATTAATCCACTTTGGAGAAAGAAGGTTTTTCCGTTCACTGTTCCAGGAGTTTAATCAAAGTCACGTTCCCTTGATGCCAAAAGTTTTAGGTTTCAGTTCTTGGACTTAAACCTGGTTGGAGCTGAAAACACTTAAAAAACATAACCATCCATCACATCTCTGCTCTCACCTCCCCCTTGGCGTTGGCCTCCTCCACGATGGAGAGGAATCTGTCGATCTGAGCGGGAGACGGAGGAGTGAAGTCCTGGATCTTGATGTGGTGCAGCTGCAGCTCCGGACAGGTGTCGTGGTTCGGGGGTTTCGTCTCACACAGACACACCAGGTGTTTGATGTTGTTCTCCAGCAGGTAGCGGTACTCACCCGGCATCCTGGGCAGCGCCAGGCCGGCCACTTTATCCTGATCCACCCAGGAGAAGTTGTGAGGAGCAGAGGCCATGACTGTCAGACTGAGAAGAGGAGGGAGGATAATTTACACCAAAACGTTATTAATAAATATGATTTACACCTAATAAACCCGAGGAAATATGCAAAGAGAAGTTGGCATAAAAAACGGATTCTCACTGTCTTATAGCACACATGGAAAATGAAAAAAGCAGCATAAAAAATGTTTAGAGTGCTCAGGGTATTTGTGAAAGCTGCTAATAATTGTATCTAGCTTTGACGTTTTATAAGATCACATAATACTAATGATGTGTTAACATAAACACAGTTAGAGAAGATACATTGAAAGAAAAACAACAACAAAAACTATTGTAAAAAGTTATTATAACCGTAAAATATAGAGAAATATGAACATGAAATATAGATATACCAAAAAACGACGTATAGTATAATATGACAATATCAATATATATTCGCGTCGGGCCGAACCACGCCCCTTAGCTGTGATATAATGAGCATATACCACGGCCTGTCGTGAGCTATTGCTTAAATATATATATATATATATATATAGAGGCTATCTTAAGTGCATTACTTGAGTAAATGTAGTCAGTTACATTCCACCACTGCACAGGCCTGATGTGAAAATAAGCTTCACCAAACTACACATAGTTTACAGGAACCTTTTAAGAATAATAAAATAGCATTTAGCTTAAAGTTAGCTAAAGTTTCGAGACACTTAGCTCGGCTGACTGACAGAAGCCACACCGGCTAACATGCTAACCAAGCAAACGGTAGCCTAAGTGAAGCCATTCATTGGCTCTTTAGTATTAAACTACACAATCACATTAATGCTGAGGGTCTCTTTCAAACTAACCACACCCTTACTCACCGTTTTCACTGAGAAGAATGGAGGTTGCGCTATGTATGAAGCCGGGTGCTAGCAAGCTAAGCTAACTGCTACTTCTCTTCTATGCTAAATGAGACAAACAGGAAATTAGCTTAAGCATGCTAACTGCCACAGTACACATTCGTTACACAACAAACCAGCGCCCTTTAACCCGAGGTAGGATTTCAGCTGTTATAATAGACAAACTATGCAACCGATGTTCGTGGTGACGTATTTATAGAGACCCGGAAGATGGCCGCTACATGTCAGGATGGCCGAGCGGTCTAAGGCGCTGCGTTCAGGTCGCAGTCTCCTCTGGAGGCGTGGGTTCGAATCCCACTTCTGACAACAACCTTTTATTTTTCACCGAAACACAGTAAAAACATGTTGTGGTGTTTATTTTACGTGTAAAATTGGGGTATGGGTATTTAGTGATGACTAAAGTATTGTATTCCCATTTAAGGAGAGTATTCTTACTTCATGATAGTGAAATCGGTATATTTTAACTACACTGTGCTGTACACGTGAAAACCACATTAGAGATGAGAGTTAAAATTAGCAATAGCAATACAACTCGGTGCAGGACATTAGTTTCATGTGCCGTGTTCAAATTATCATTCCTATCAAATTAATGTATGTATAAGGTGTGTAGAATCATCAAAAATGTCAATAAGGAAACACATAAATATGTTAGTCTTTACTCACAATGTCAGATAAACATGAAGTGCAATTTCATGCGATATACTGCAGAGGGCGTAACAAGCCCAGCAAAAGAAACTGAACCATAAAAGCTCTATCTGGAAAGAAAACACAGTAACACTCAGCTGTTTGGGTTGTATTGTGCAACCACATCAAAACCAGAACATTATGTTTTTAATTTTAGGGGAGTGTGTTTTCAAAGATTCCAAATACTGTTTGTTTTGGTGAACAAAGAAAGTTTAAGAAAGTTATAATTTGTTTGTGGTAAGGTTTTTGTGTTAGTGTAAGTATAATACAACTTCAATTAAGAATTTCAAAATGCAAATACTGACTATTTATGTGATAGTGTCAGCGTGTATACCTTTATAAATGATAAGAAATATATAGTAGACTATTAGGGCCCTTTTGGGTAAAACGTTGCATTATAATGAGGGAGCTTGGCAAGCTTAACGTTTCCTAGATGAATATAAATAATTATATAGAAAACTGAATATTCTCTGATATTAAAGAGTCATTTGGTGCTTTTCATTTCCCCCAACCAGATTTGAGTTTCCGATACTTAGATCTAACCGACGACCTTATGCTCACAAGAAGGATTAGAAAGATATAAAAAATATGATAAATAACCCTAATATAAAAAATCTAAAGTAAGCAGTATCACAGGATGCTCGTCCATAAACACAACAGCAGCAAAATGTCAATCGCTACGAAACTACAATACTGCGGTCAAGCCAGCCTCCACTCGGGAAAACCTAGTCAAGCCAGCCCGCACGTGATATTGCGGTGCGCGAATATCCTATGCATTACGGTAGAGTAAAAAAAAATCATCCCTCTGTGTTTAGATGAGAATAAAACAAAAACTGTCCAGTATCAAAGACTCATTTCACTTCAGGGTGATAGCAGGACATCCCATCTAGTCACTCAGAAAAAATCAGGACATTCTGATTTAGAGTTTCAAAATAAAAGACCTTTGAAGTCTCATATATGAGCTATCATCCCTGTTTTTAGATGAGAATAAAACAAAAACTGTCCAACATCATATACTCATCTCACTCCAGGGTGATAGCAGGACACCCCACCTAGTCACTCAGAAAAAATCAGGACATTCTGATGTAGAGTTTCAAAAATAATAATATAATTGAATTAAATAATTGATACTGGACAGTTTTTGTTTTATTCTCATCTAAAAACAGAGGGATGATAGCTCATATATGAGATTTCAAAGGTCTTTTATTTTGAAACTCTACATCAGAATGTCCTGATTTTTTCTGAGTGACTAGATGGGGTGTCCTGCTATCATCCTGGAGTGAGATGGATCTTTGATACTGGGCAGTTTTTGTTTTATTCTCATCTAAAAACAGGGATCATCGCTCATACAATAGAGATTTCAAAGGTATTCTCATCTAAACACAGAGGGATGATTTTTTTTTTTAACACTACCGTAATGCATAGGATATTCGCGCACCGCAATATCACGTGCGGGCTGGCTTGACTAGGTTTTCCCGAGTGGAGGCTGGCTTGACCGCAGTACCACAATCGGTCATGAAAATAAGACAACATGGCTGATCACCCAATTAAGGTTCAACAGGCACACCCAAAGTCCTAGACAAAAATCACAAACCGGGCAAAAACACACATATAAGGCACATATAGCAACCACTAAACTAATAGCGAATACACGGTGCAAAAACATATATTAAACTTACCAAAGATCCGTTCGAAAAGGGAAAAGTCCTTATCCATTTTCTGCCGTTTAAAATAGTTCAAGGACACAATAAAAGCTGCAAAGTTAGATCCGTTTCTTCGGGCATTGCGCATTAAAACGAAAAGAAAGCTAAGTACACAGTCTCTAAACTACATTTAAAACGTCTGTAAAAAAAGTTTAAATAATTATAAAACCATGAACTTTGTTTAAGCTAATCATGTGCTCACGACTAACCAGTTTAACTTGAATTAAATGCCGTTCTGATCACGCGCTGATCACGCCACACCGAAGAATAATCACGCAGGCAGCTCGGTCAGCCATTGGCTCCGGCGTGTCAAAGGTTACGCCCCTCATGGCAACCTCGAAGCCGATTGGTTAAGAGGGGATGTTTTACCGAGGGCTCTGGTTTTACCGAGCAACAACACAGGGTGGAAATCTGATTGGATAAAAACTCAAATGTTGATGAGTTCCTTCAAAATCAGCACGTGAAGGCTGAAAGTAGCTAAATGTGTGTTTAATTATATTAAATATAATCTTATGAAAAAATTAACACTGTTTTCCCAAGCCTTTCCCTGTAAATGTGTGACTTTTTACCCGTTTAATATATATATATTCTCTTTCATAAATGTATTATTTTTTAAATGAAATGTATTTGTTTTTTTGTCACAAATGTATGACTAAGAGAATATCCATGTTTTTGTACTAACACATTTACAACCTTAATCTCTGAATCTTTTTTCTGAATCTTATTATATATTATAATGAAAACTATTCTATTTCGCATTGTCCCTAATATGTGGTTGTAGAAACACAAGGACATATTTGTACAGTTTTTAAGTGTGCTGCATATACATAATTATTATCATGAAAACCAAATCTTTACCAAAATATCTGATACCTCTTATCATCTAATTAGCATATTTGTTATTCCTCAATGCAATTCTTCAACTTGTCCCCAGCTTTATTTATATGTGAGAGATGTCCTTGTTGAGTCGTCTTGAATCATTCTGGTTTTTAATACGTTTTGGCACTTCCACATGGAGCCTGTTTCATACAATCTCCACATGAAAGGAAAAAGAGAAGTTTGTCCATTTCATGCAGAAAGTTAAAGATACAAACACAAACATCCAGACCTCACAGCACAGCACAATTTACTTGCTAGTCAGTTTTATACAAACAGTAGAAAGAGGGTTTTGTTTCTAAGGGAGACAAACTGCATCACATTTTGCCAGATAGATGTCGATATACACGAAGAAGAAGAAAAACAAACGTTTTCCATTAAAAAAGCTTCCACTAACCTGTTGTAAAAACAAAAAACATCTGTTTCACGTACAGTTATAGAAAGATGTCTATAGGTAAACGTAAAAAAACATGGTGGCGTGTAGTGGTGTTTTAGTTAGCCACCGACAACAAAACAGAAACATTTGGAAGTCCAGAAAAAGAACCACGATATATATTTATTCTTATTTTATCTATTTTTTGTACACATCACAACCTGAAGACTCAGTAGGCTGTCCATCATCGTCATCATCTTCCTCTTTGTGTCATCTAAAAGCACAGACCCTTCAACATGCTTCAACAACACCCCTCAAAAAACCACAATCACAACCCTTTAACGTTACATGTAAACTCTTAAGATGCCGCTCGAGAACAGGAGGGGGGGGGCAGTAAACGCCTCGCCCTCCTACTAGAAGATTTCTACGTTATTCTGAACGTCCACGTTCAAAAGTCCCACGAGTGACCGGGTTTTACAGGATGGCACAGAAGAACTTCTTCTCCCGGAACGGGTTCTCCGAGGCGGGAACCGGCGACAGCAGAGGGTCCTCTTTGGCGTGAGCTTCGCAGTACGACATCAGGTCCGCCGCCGCTTTAGACACCTTTGGGGGAAAAAACATTAAACAAGTCAGCTGGATCATCTAAAAATCACAAAACTGCATCATTACTTTTCCTGGGATTTTCTTTAAATGTTTCCTTTTTTTCTCAGAATGTTTTTTTTTATTTGACTGTTTTTCAAAAATGTACATTTCTTTCTCAGAATTCAGGATCTTTTTCTCAGAATTGACTGTTTCCTCAAAATTCTGACTTTTTCTCCCAAAAATGTGGACGTTTTTCTAAAAAATGTCATGACTCTTTATCTTATCATTCTGATTAGAGAATACCAACACATATTCTAATTCCTTACAGTAGTTTGCGACCTATTCACATATTAGTTTTCAACGTTAACCGTTGAGGCATGAGAGAATGAAAAGTAACTGATATACAGAGGATGTTATTGGGGGTGAAGTTTCCCTTTTTTAAGCAAAATAATGTTCATAGCTGGTGTGTGTGTGTGTGTGTGTGTGTGTGTGTGTGTGTGTGTGTGTGTGTGTGTGTGTGTGTGTGTGTCACCTTTATCCTGTCGATGTTGGCCTCCATCTTCAGCTGCTCCACCAGCTTCCTGGCCTGAGCGATGCTCGCCGTGTTGTTGCTCGCCATGAGCGCCTCGGTGTGATTCCTTTTCTCTGCCTATAGACACAGAAATACACCCCGGATAATCAGTCAGCATTATGAGTCCAAAAAAACAAGAAATTAGTCATCAACATTGAGTTCTAAAACACTCAAATGAGTTATCATTATGAGTCTTAAAATGTTATAATGAGTCAGTGTAATGAGTCCTGAAACCCTGAAGTAATTTCACCTTATGGGTCCTAAAATCAAAATATTAGTCAGTATTATGCGTCCTCAAACCCTGACATGAATAAGCATTATACATGGGTACTAAAACACTCAAATGAGTCAGCATTATGATTCCTAAAATAAAAAAAAATGAATGAACTTTCACAGATGCTATGTTTGCAATATACTGAAATGCAATGGAGAATTT